AATTTCTTTTTTTTCACGACCTTGTTAAATTTGTTACGAGTCATAAACATAATAGAATAATACTTTATGTGAAGTTTCAACCAAATATGATTATTATATTGTAGACTTGTAGTTATATAACTATGTAAGTATCCCAAAAGTACTAAAAAGTCAAGAGTCAAGACTCATAAAACTAATTAACAAAAACGTTTTAATGAAAATATGATTTTTTTTTTTTTGACTAAAGAAATTAATGTATATATGATTGTACTGAGTTTAATGTATAGATTACAATAATCGAGTTTGACTTACGGCCATATCTATTACTTGTAGTACAATTAGTGGTTCATACACCCAGGTGTACCATGCGCATGGTGCACCTGGATTAAAGTGGAATGAACATCGTATATAGTTATTAAGAACATCATGAATTTATAAAAGAACATATTACTGAAATATAAAGAACAAAGTAATTTCTGATAAATGGTATTTAAAAAAAAAAGTAAAAGATTATTACTAATTGAGTTTTACCAAAAACTTATGGGAAATTCTCTTTGGTAACACTATATTTTTAAGTTTTCTCAGTGATAAATTGCAAAAAAACTTATTATCTTTGGTAAACTCGAATTTCTTATATTAAGCTAATGGTAACATTAATGACTAATTTTAACTAAATATTTAACTATAGTTAGTTTTTTTTTGACATTTAAATGTTAAATGATAATTTTAAAACTAATTTATTTTTAAAAAAACACAAAAAAATCACCTCCTTCCCCGACCAGCATCCACCACGCCGGCGCTCACTCCCCTGCCCCAACCCATGTCGCCGTCTATCCACCTCTCTTGCCGGCGCAGCATCGGCATCTCCAGCCCCGAAAATCACCTCCCTTCCCCACGAAAATCCAGCCCTCCTTCCCCGACCAGCATCCACCACGCCGCACCTTTCCCCCTTCCCCCAAAACCCACCTCCCTTCCCCACGAAAATCCCAGAAACCACCCCCGAAAATCTAAAATTCCTTAGCCGCCCAATACCCCACCATCAAAATCCCTAATTGGCTTCAAAATCCCCACCTTCGAAACCAATCGGTTTTTAGAACCATGGCCTTCAACCTGAAGCGCCGCCGCTGATTTCACCTTTGAAATTGATTGATTTCATCCTTATTTGCGCCGCTAATTTTCGCCGGTGGTTTGGGTCATGGGTTTGGGTTCGATCTAGCGCAAGAAAGGGAGGTTGCGTGAAAGGAGGAGATAGATTGAGAGGATGGTTGTAATGTAGTTGCGGTGGGAGGAGGATCGTGGGCGGTGGTGTGAGGTTTTGGGTTGGTGGTGGTTGAGGAAAGGGAGGGGGATAGGGTCGCCGACTAGGAGGGGATGTGTGCCGGCCAGGGGAGAGGGGGGTTGGGATGCCGACGGTGGTTGCTGGTTGTGGCAGTAGTTGGCTGGTGGTGGAAGGGGAGATTGTTTTTTTTTTAATATATTTCTAAATTCAATTAATTGTTAGAAAATTAATTAAACTAACCATGGTTAAGGAAAATTGGTTAAAATAGTTATTCTCTTTGGTATCAATAATTCAAGTTTACCAATGATAATAAGTTTTTTTGCAATTTACCACTGAGAAAACTTAAATCAACAGTGTTACCAAAGAGAATTTCCCAAAACTTATTGTCAAATCATTTTAAAACATTTAGATATCAAGAATTTCACTATCCAAAACTATTTTCACCCAAATATAATTCAAAATTTCATTTTTAAATTTCAAAAATTCAAAATTTAAAATTCAAAATTTAAGAACATATTATTCAAGTGTAAAGAACATACTTAATTTATATACCTTGAAGAACATTGTTTGTAATATAAAGAACACATAGTTAGGACTCAAAAAACATATTGATTAGACTCCAAAACATATTTGATTCCATTTTTATAAAAATGATAAAAGAACATTCATCAGAATATGAAGAACATCATCTTCAACCTGTGAAAATATTACCAAAACAGAAAAATAGATATAAAAAAAAAAATACTTCTCTTCAACAATGAATTTGTCAATTACACCTTTCAATTATAAGATTCATGGAAACGATTAAATCACTTCGAAATCCAAAAATTATCATGGCTTCTCTCTCTATAAAACTCCATTTCTCTCTCTTAACAAAAAAATGAAATTCTATATACCAAAAATAATATTGAATGTAAATAATAAATTAATTTCATAAATCAAGGAATATAAATCACAAACCAATACCTCTTAAATCAAGAAGAGAATCATTTTTTTTTTTCACTCGTGTACTTTATATTTGCACACGATGTTCTTTCCGCGTTTATATAAGTCTTGTATTCTAAGTGGGTGTACCATGAGCATGGTACACCTGGGTGTATGATGAAAATTTCACTTGTAGTATTTGATTGATTAAACTCAAATAATGATTGGATATACTGTTCAATTATATATGTTGGACTTAGGGGCATAAACTTAGGGCTGAGTTAAAAAGGATCGGAAAAAACTTGTGTGGATCAGGTTATCGTGGACATTAGATCTGGATTTATCACCTGCCGTGTTATTGAACTTATTGACCGTAATTCTAACATAGTGATCTTTATTAAAACTTGTGTTGACCTAAATAACAATATAATCAAGAGATTGGAGGTCTACAAGTGACAACTGAAGTTATGTTGCATATATGACCCATATTCTATTTCAATATAGTGAATTAGTGACCTCCATTATTCATACGACTAGTATATTAAAACTCTCACTATAAAAATATATTAATCACTTTTTTTTTTTAATTTTGCTGAACATATATTAATCAGATCTTTATTATATCATTAACTTTTATACGTGGGTTGCCAGCCACCATGTGGCTACTTGGTTAGTATTATACTTCGTAGGGGGTAACTCTGGTTTAGTTGTAGGGATTACATATATTAGGATTACTCTATTAGTATTATAGGGGTTACTCAATAAATATACTTCGTAATAAAGGGTTATTATGTCAGTGTAATAAGGGTTATTATGTTAGTGTCATAGTGTTTACTTCAGTTTTTAGAAGCCCGCGCTCTTATAACAACAAACTGACTTATTTTAACATAATGATAACCTTTATTTTAATATATTGTATTTTTTAATTAATATAACAACCTTTCTTATAATATAGCTATATCTAAACATAGTAACCTTAATATTAGTGATCCACGATAAATTAATGGGAACACGTTCTATTAAAGAGTTTAATGAACAAAAGTATTTGAAGATTTGATCTGCATACGATCCAATACTTTATTTTGTTTAGTTTATAAGCGAAATTCTATTTAAGTATATACTCCGTAATTGTTTAAATAACATTGTAACTTGTAATATAGTTCAGTAAAATTTGTGTGTTCCATAAATATTAAAAAAAAAAAAAAAAAAAGTCAAACGTGTTAATTATCCTAAGAAACTAAGAACGAGGAAGTATACACTTTAGATATTAGCTAGTACGTAATGTAAACTTGTAATGGATTAATTTTTTCCTTTTTGAGGAAGGGGCAACGGATCACTTTTTCTTTTGGAGCAAAACGAATCACCTTTCTTTTAAAACAAAATTGGATCACTTTTATGATTTCACCAACTTTAAACTTCCTATCCAAATGTGTTAGTACACTTTTGATTACAAAGTCAAAAAAGTGATTACTATCATTATTAATGTTAATCCTACTCTTTCAGTATTCATGTATATCCGTTTCAACATTCTTATATGTAGATACAAAATTATCTCTAGCTCAACATTAAAAATACGGGAAAATGTTAAACATAATCCTAAAGGAGATATATACATATATATATGAAACGCCAAATCTTTTCAATACATTAGATAGATTTGTTTCTCCTATGTATCAGTTTCTTGATGTCGGTGATAGAGGTCTCTATATAATAAATTATGGAAAATTTGGGTGACCAAATTGCAGATTTGAAGATCATTGACTAGGCATAAAGGAGACAAAAGATGGAGCCCATTTAAAGATCAAATTGGTATAACGTTTTCACATGAATCATGATTCATGATGATGTTCCCTCGTTCTACCTTTCCACCCCCTTTATAGCAAACAACAATAACTACTCCTGTAGTTGCAGGATTCTCTTCGTCCTAATTTACTTGTTCCATAGCCATTTGCACGGGATTTATACAAATGAAAACATTAGAGTAAAAAAGTGAGTGGGTATGATGGGGCCAACTGAGAAAAGTAGAGAAAAAAAAACTGTGAAAAAATGTGGGACAAGTAAATTGGGACGGGAGAATACTACGATGGAGGCGAGGGTGGTGATGCTGATTCTATGAAACGATAAGCCAGATTGATGCCCTATGAAGATGAGTTTATAAGCACCCCGGTCCCTAATATATGGCTGGTGAATCTGGTTCGGCCTCAACCCAGCCAGTGTCTGGGTTTGACCAGCCAATGTGAGCTGATCTACAAGCGCACATCCACTGTCAAGCAAAATTTCCCCTAACCCGGTTTGCTGAGCTCAATCACTATAGTTACATCCACACCGTGTAGCTAGATTAGCTACCTGATACCTGTAGGCTCAATTTTCACCCAAGTTCAGAGCTAGTGTAGACGTGTAGTTGTCATCGATCACAAAGGACTGTAGCACAGACCCAAAACTCAATTTCAGTACAAGAGGACAAGCGTTTTAAAACAATGTCCAACACTCTCTGCATCTAAAGGGCTGCTTCAACCTTTCATTCAAAAGAGAATAAGAATTCCTCATGTTCGAAATACGAAGTACACGTTAAAGTTTTCAGAAAATGCATGACTTATTTCTATCACAAGAGTGAATAGCCTAGAAACATGTCAAATTCAGAAACAAATCACAAAAATTCTACATAATATAAGCTCAGTACCGTAGTGACTGTACTACTGAATCAATTAAGCAATTCATAAACCAAGTATTAGCAAGAAGATCCGGTATATGCACAGTAGTAAGAGATGCACAAATAGTACAGCATATGACATAATTTAAATACACAGAGGCATAATAATGAAAAAAAAAACATGGAAATAAGAATTCACATCAGAAGTTTTCCCAGCATATACAATTTTCCATTACTTGGCAAAAAATGTCATGTGTCACAGAATATACCAGAGAAGGAAACTCCTTCAGTATGTTAATCAGAGAATGCACAATTTGATATACATGTAGTACATAAATGCACTAATTTGAGATACTTTACAGGTATTTTGCTGCTTCTTGTGCACGAGTCTCCTCTCCAACAAACGTATTACTCTGGCTATGAAGATCAATCACTGTACCGGACTCTGAGTGGTTCTTTTTGGTTGGCACCTTTTTCTTCTTCTCAGGTGGCCTAGGTCCTAGAGCACTAATATCGATAGTAGCACCAAATGTTCTTGAAGATTGTAATATGGCATCATACGCCTTTGAAGAGGGCTTCAGATCCTCATTTAACGCACTCAAATATAAGTCATACGCTAACCTAGGCTTGCCATCATTTGCAAGAGCCTCGATCAACGTATCATATGTGATCTCATTTGGGTCAATGCTCATACTCCTCATGCGTTGAAACCACTCGTAAGCAGCACCAGCCAGACCATTCTTTGTACATACACTAATAATTGCATTGAAAGTAACAACAGTTGGGTTGATACCTGTTGAAACCATTTCTTGAATGATATAGTCAACAAGATTAAATTTTCCAAGACCAACATAAACTGAAGCCATAATTGTGTAAGCATATAAGTTGGGTTCAACGCCAATTTTACGCATATGTTCCCACACCCGTACAGCCTCGTCATATAATTTTCCTTTTTCAAGAGCACTAAGTAATGCTCCATACGAAATTACAGTTGGCTTTTCACCTTTCTCTATCATTCTCTTGAATATATCCACAGCTGCAGTAGCTTCCGAAGCTTTAGAACAAGCTATAAGAACAGCATTCCATTCCCTACTTCTTGGTTTCAAACCTTTAGCTTCCATCTTGTCCAGCAACTTTAACCCCCATCTCCAGATTCCTCTCTTCCTAGCAGCACTAAGCAAGACATTAAAGTGAGATACAATCAGCTCATATGCCATGTTATTTGGTTTCGGCCCCTTATCTAGCATATCTTCATAAATTTCCAAAGCAGCCCACCATTTCTTAGCTTTGCCCATCAACCAGATGATATGATTGCATACTGATAAACTTATATCAGAGTGATTTTCCCTTATTCTATTATATAGCTCTTTGGCAACTGTATAATGCTCTTCACGTGTACAAGCCCAAACAAGTCGCTCATACTCTTCACGTGTTGGTGGAAGTGCAGCCTTGTCCATTTCTATAAGTAATTTCAAGACATTTGTGGTAAAATTTCCATCCTTAACAAGCCATCGCCGCATAATTTGGTAGCATATGCGACTGGTGAAGTTCTTAAGCTTAAGATACTCATAATGCCAGTCAATATGGCCATCTATCTTGAGCTCTCCACTCATATATTTCTCTTTCAGAGCAATAAAAAAGTTTAACGCACCAATCCCATCTTCCATTCTTCGATAAGCTAACAAGGCTGTAGAATATGATGGAGGAGATGGAGATAGTCCCTTGCATTTAATATCCTCAAAGAGATTTAGTGCCTCAGCTGTTCGCCCTTCTTCCACATATATGCCCATCAAAGTATTATAAGTCACGACATTCCGAGAAATGCCAACTTCATCCATCTCACTCAGCACCATGTCAACTTTATCAAGCTCTCCAGACTGTTTAACAACACTTAGCAGGCTATTATATATGTAAAGGTTAGGACAATAAGCATCCTCACCCTCTTCACACTTCTCTTTAAGCCAATCAACAACAGCCATTGCAGGTTCAAGTCTCTTTTCCCGGCCAAAGCCACTTATAATGGAAGAAAAAACCTGAAGAGGCACTTTATCTTCATCTTTCATGATCTCTTCCACATCCTCTACTGATTGTGCATGCAGCAAACATTGTGCAAGCCCACGGACATCAACTCGTCTATCCATTTTTACTTCCTCTACTTCTCCTCCACCTCTAATTTCTCCTCCAACATCATCACCACTTCTTGTACTCTTACTCAAACACAACCCACCATCATCACTTTCTAACCGCGTTTCCTTCAATTCATCAATTTCCTCCAAATCCTCATCAATAACACTATAGCCAATGGCTTGTTCCTCTAAAGCCCACCCCACCGGAAAGCACAGCCCGGCTGAACTTCTCGATTCACCCGAAAGAAACAGTTTAATTTTATCACACTTAAAGAAAACCCTAACACCTATATCATCAAAATCTGACCTACTATGCTTAGAAGACCTCCTCAGATGAACAATTGAATCAATTCTGCCCAAATTTTTCCTTCTAATTCTACTTCTTATACACCCAAAAGAAGCAACACCCAGCTGAAATTCAAGCTGGGGTATTTCCAATAATTCCCCTCTCAAAGGCCAAACACTTAAAGTTTGCATTTTTAACAATAATTCAGGAATTAAATTCAAAACCCATCATGAAAAAACACAATTACAAATCAAAATTACAGTAATTTAGCTCCAGTTCTTCTTTCAATTTCATAATTTTCTGAAATTTATGAAAAGTAAATTCAAAACAACGCTCATTTCTTTCAGGTTATATGTATCTGAAAATAAACAAATTATATGAAATTCAAAGCAAATTAAGAATAGACGTGGAAATTGAAGGATAATATTAGTTACCCAGAAAAAATGGGAAATTTGTGGACTAGAGTGAATGCCGTGGCGGTCCAAAACTCCGGCGAGAGAAAATGTTGACGTGGATAACTGTATGAAACAGTGGCGGAGCCAGGATTTGTAATCCGGGGGGACAATTTTTAGATGTTTAATAATCGACAATAATTATAAGAAAAAAGAAATTGATCACATAAATTGTTTAATATATATTTGAAATCGCTTATGAGATATGACAATTATTCTTACATGGTGAAAGAGGAGTTGTAAAAAAATTAATTGCATATTAAGAAATTTATTAACCAAATTTTTTTTTATGCTGGTAAACCCCAATTTTAAGGTATGTAATCCTTAATAATCGATAAATATGATTTATCAAATGATAATCATTTACACAAATTGATAGTAGATGTAAAGGGATTTGGGTTACATTTTAAAAAAAAAAATAATAATAAATAAATAAACTTTCTTTGACTAAAAATAAAATTGGAAACTTAGTTCCAAACAAGCTATAAAAAAATAGAATTTAGGCACACATAATTAGAGAGATAAAAAAATACGGAGACATGTGTTCATTACAAATAGTTTAATAACACATTAGTAATCACTATCAACAAGGCGATACTTGATTAAACAGTTAAATGAGAGTAATTAGAGGTTTGAAGACTTATAATACTTTGTATATATAAATTACATACTATATAATGAAATTTAAAAACCAGTAAAAAAAAAATGGCAAAATCCAAAAACAAGAAAAAGAAGTTAAATAGGAGCACTTTGTATAAACTATAAAATGAAATAAAAATAAAGTCCAAAAATAGCAAAAAGAAACAAAAAAAATGATCGGGTAAAGAATCGAACCTAGGATCAAAGAGAAATACAAGCTTTACTCAAGCCCATCAACCACCAGACCAAATGTTTTCTTTGTTATATAAGGTATACATGTAAGGTATTTATTCTTATTTACAGCATTTATTTAAGCTAACATAAATTAAATTTTTTTTTGGAAAAATGGGGGGACAACCGTCCCCCCTTGTTCCTACATGGCTCCGCCCCTGGTATGAAAGGATGGAGTTGGAAGTGTGAGCAAGTGATAACTCCCTCAATAAGTGAATAGTTCCGTCCACTTATTACATGCCTATTCTTTTTTAGGTTACTAAAATTAAGTGCCTGTTTATTTTTATAAATTGTATTTTTTGTCAATATTATTTTTATTTTTTTAGGAAATTCTCAACGGTGCTCTTTAAGTTTTTATTTTTCTCAATGGTAAACACTAAAATATTAAATTATCTTTGGTAATCTATAATTTGTAAAATTAATTCAGTGGTAACATTAGTTAAGCATTTTAAAGAATATTAATCATGGTTAATGTTTTAAAAGAGAAGGAAAAGAAAAATGTCTAAAATACCCTTTTTAACAAAAACCCACCACCCCACTTCTTCCCCCCTGCCACCCCTACCCACCCAACTCCCGGCCGGCGCCGACAGTGCCATCCAAGATTCCCTCCCCGACGCCGGCGCCAGGCTGAACACCTTCTCCGGTTGCTTCATTGGGGTTTTCAATTAGGGATTTCGTGGGTTTTACGGGGGGGGGGGGGGGTCCGAGAGGGAGGAAAGGGAGGCGTCGCGACAGGGGGAGGGAATTGGCGCCGGCGCCGGGGGAGGGAGGTCAGGGAGAGGTCGGCGCCGTGGGCAAGTGGCCGGATTGGGTTTGGGCATTGGGCAAGTGGAGTACTAGAATGGCTGGTGGGTGATTTTTTTTTCTTTTTAATTGGTTAAAATAAAGAAAAATCTGATTGTTTTTTCAAGGGTATATTAGTCAATTTGCCTTTTATTAACTATGGTTAAGCTTATATTTGTAGATTAATCTCATTAATGTCACCATTGTATTAGTAATACAAATAGTTGATTACCAAAGATAATCTTATTTTTAGTTGTTTTCCATTGAGAAAAATAAAAACCTTAAGAGTACCATTGAGAATTTTCCTTTTTTTTTTTTATGATTTGTCATCATTTTTTTTTGTACTTTACAACAATTCCCAATACTTTCTCTTTCTTAATTCTCAACCACCTTTTCTTTCTCTCTATCTCTCTATCTCTCTCTAACCCCACATGCATATTTGTAATCCCAATTTTTAGTTTTAAGGAATCTTTAACTTTCTTAATTCCCGTGCAAAATGAGAAATAGACATGTAATAAAGGGACGGAGGGAGTAATGATTAATTAAGGGATAAATGAGTTTTTACAAAGTGACTAATTTATTAAGGCACAAATGTAATTTAACGTAAAAGTTAAAACAGTAATTACTACTTAGACATGGGGCGAGTTGGGCCACAAGCGGCACAGACACAACACGAGCCTGCTTGCAGCCTAGCAATATCTATATCTATTAATATTGTTGTATTATGAATATGCAAAAGTAGTGTGGAGTATATATAGTAATATTGATGTCAAATTCAAGTTTCAAACCTAATTGGTCTTAGTTCCTAGCTAGAAAAGGCAAAAAAATTAAAAAAAAATAAATAAATAAAATAAAATAAAATATAATGATGACATCATATGTAAAATTTGGAGGGAAATTTTTTAATGAGAGTTTGACACGTAAGCACTTTAAGAAATTGATGACGTCAGCAACGTTTTGTTTTAGTAATAGTTAATAGATAATGTTCTTATAGCGTGTATGTTATGAACTATGAATAATGAAATTAAGAAGAAATCCTAAGAACTTAGATATTGTTTATTTATATGTCTATCTTTATAATTTTACTTTTGCATATTGCAATATTGATGGGATATTATCCAAAACTCGACAAGATCATTTTGGACTAAATTCATGACATCTCAACCTGAAGTTTTTTTTTTTTTTAAATGGTCTCAACCTGAAGTTTGAGCATGTGAGAGTTGTAATGTTTTATTCATTTGTGTTTCTGGAAACAGAATGCCCTGGGAGTTTTAGGTTAGTAAGGGTAATAAAGATGTCCTAGAGCTATGTCCAATGAATGTCCGAATTTCCCTCAGCTATGCCTTGCTGTCCGAGAGCTAGGCCTGCAAAAGAGAAAGAAGGTTAACTGCCCCGGGGGTGTGACCCGGGAAAGCCCCTCCGATGCTTAAGTCAGCGAATGTACTTTATAGAGAGAGAAAGTGGAGAGAGAGAGTACTTTAGAGAGAGAAAGAAGAGAGAGAAAGAAGAGAGAGAATGTTAGAGAATTAGGAAAAAGTTACCATCATCAATGATTGGAGAGCTATTTATAGATGTACTTTCAGGTGGCAGAAGTTTTACTTAATTGGACAGATTAGGGGTAAATCCGTACTTTTCTCTAACTAATGATGGGCTGGATCATGGAGGGGTATTTTCATAATTCCAGGTCAATGGGCTTAGGACAATGAACTAGGCCCAAACATTTAGCCCCACGCGTGATGTGGGAACGAGATCACATGAAATTTGGATATCACGCGGAATAGAGATGAGAGAAAGTATTACATATGCTGGAGTAAATCCCGAGGCATACCCGAGGGCTAAAACGAGCCCCAAGGGTATCTGAGGGCTAAAAGAGCCCCAAGCGACTTGCAAGGATGAAAACTAGCCCCAAGCAATGCATTGAAGGTACTTTAAGTTAGATGATTGAGTAGTTTGGAGAGCTAATCCTGATGATGGCTTAGGGATAACTGATGATCTTTCCCTTTTCAGAATATTTTCTTCAGGTTGAGATCCATGAACTTTGCTGAAGGCATATCTTGTCTCCATTTTTGACTACCTTTGGGGTTTTAGAGATAAGCTGATGATGATTCAACGTTAATTAAGCTTGTAATTAAACTTAATCCTTCAATGGTGGCTTTCTAGGCTCAAGCATCACTTAGGCCCATCTGAACCAGGGTTTTGAGGAGTTTCCATATGAACTCCCACCCCTCCTCATTTGCTTTTCATTCTTTTCATTTGCATTAGAGAAAATTCTCAAAAATTCTCCCAAGTTCTTGAGAGTTTGAGTGTTCAAGTCACATCATTCAAGATCACATCCCCAAGTTCTTCCAAGTTCATCAAGATCTTCAAGAGGTATGTGAAAATTTTCACTTTTTGATTTATTTTCATAGATCCGAAAGCATGTCTAGGCGTTTTTGTACTTGAAAATTCTGAAATTTTGAATTTATACTAGGAGTAGATATACTTGAACTTTGAATTGAATTAACCCCAGGATAGAAGGGCTATGACCAGCTGTAAGTAAGGATTTTTCTTTGTAACTTTCGAATATTTTGGGGTTTATGTTTGATAATTTTCGAATTTTGGACTTGCTGCTTTTGAATTTTGGCTATAGGTGTTTCGTCCGGATTTTTGATTTTTTGGACTTGGATGGGAATTTCGGTTAGGGGGTAGTTTTCTAGGCCGAGGGATTGCTGAGGGCTTGGCTGGGCTGACTATGCCGAAAAGCCAAGTGACCCCTAGCTCTCGGCATCCCTGGTGTTTGAGAGTGAGACGACTGAGGGAGGCATGAGAGTGAGGAGAGGGTATGCTGGAGGGGTAGGAGCGATGTGAGGGAGGAGCATGGGTGAGCATCGAGGGAGTAGGGTGCCCTCTGCTGGCACGGCCGCGGGGGTCGCTGGTGCTGCCGAGGGGTTTCTTGGCGCGCCGAAGGGGTGTATAGCGCACAGGCCGAGGGCCCTTGTGTGCGGAGAAGTGCAAGAAAAAGCGAGAAAACCCGAGGAATCCGATGGGTTTTGAACGAGTATAGCTAGGCAGAGAGAGAGAGAGAGATGCAAAGCTAATTTGTGAGGTTTGAGAGGGGATATGGAATGCCGAGGGGGTACTCGTGCGGCTGACGGGGTTAGGCGCAGGCCGAGGGAAGTGTCGGTGTGCTAAGGGCCTTTTCTTTGAGACAAGCCGGGGTAAGAGAGACCTGAGAGATGCAATGTAAGTTGGGATTTGGCTTTTACTTGTGTATTTTTAGAGTGAGAGCCGAGATTAGAGGGGGATGCTGAGAGGTTGCTCCAAGCCGAGGGGGTGAGCGAGCCGACCCTGGGGTAACCTCAGCCATGCCGAGGGGGTCTTTAGCACTGCCGAGGGCCTGATGCGCCCTGTCGAGCCGAGGAAAAATAGTAACCCCAGCTCTCGGCATTTCTCA